ATGGTTCTGAGGGCTTAAAAAGAATAGGAGAGTCTGTCTCTCTGCTCTCTCTGCTTCTACCATTTCACAATGTGACACCCCTGGGTCACTGTCGCCACGCAGATGGACTTGGGACATTCCAGCCTCTGAAACTATAAGCAATAAATTTTATTTTCTTTATAAAATACCTAGTTCCAAGTATTTTGTTAGAAGCAACAGAAACGGACTAATACATATACACAATAGAATATTACTCTGCCATAAGGAAGAATGAAATTCTGCCATTGTAGTAACATGGATGAGCTTGGAGAAAATTAAGTTATGTGAAATAAACCAGGCACAGAAAGAGAAATACTGCCTGTCCCCATTCATAAGAGGGAGCTAATAAATAAATAAACAGAAAAATCACAATAGTATGTTGAACTTTCAAGAGAAGAGAACAGAACTATGATTACTAGAGGTGGGAAAGGGGGAGCGGGAGGAGGGTTAGGGAAAAATTGGTTAATGGACACAAAGAATGATTGCATTTTGCAATGATTAATACACTAATTATCCTGATTTGATCATCACATATTGTACACAAATACTGATGGTCAACTCTGTACCCTGCAAATACATATAATCAATTATGTTTCAATAAAAAACCAACTCTGTTTTAAAGGGAAGTTAGGAGAGAAGATCATAGAGAGATGACCACCTACCTCAATTTAGTAGCAGTGGGGACTGAGAATTCTACATGGAATTGACCAAAAATTGGTTAAGCAGCGAAGGAAAAATGAAGCATTACTCTCAGATTATCCATAAGAGCAGCTGGGTTGTTGCTGGTACCAAATACCAAGATTAACAAAACAGGTGAAAGAATACATTAAGCAGAAATAGAGAGAGAGACAAATCCTGGACGTGTTATACTAAAGGTATCTGTGAAACAGGTGGAGACGTCCACACAATAGTTAGACATAAGGTCTTGAAGCTCAAGAGAGAGATCTAGAAAAAAGATAAACTTTTGGAAATCATGAGTATCTCAGTGGTAGCTGAAGCCATCAGAAAAGGAAGCTTGTTCACAAAGAACATGAAGGTTGAGGACACAGAGCCTAAGGAACAGCAGAGGAAGAGGAGCAGGCCCTGGAGACCAGGAAGGAACCAGAACCAGGCCTCTGCGGCTATATCTGCAGCACCTAGCAGAGTCCTGGTCCCCAATGGTGCTCAGTAAGCAGCTGTTGAATGAATGAAGAGGGTCTCAGAAGTGACTATTTCAGGAGTAAGTGACACTCTTAACTCAACACAATGGGCTGGGCACACATTTATGTCCTCTGCTTCCACACAATAGTTAGACATAAGGTCTTGAAGCTCAAGAGAGAGATCTAGAAAAAAGATAAACTTTTGGAAATCATGAGTATCTCAGTGGTATCTGAAGCCATCAGAAAAGGAAGCTTGTTCACAAAGAACATGAAGGTTGAGGATACAGAGCCTAAGGAACAGCAGAGGAAGAAGAGCAGGCCCTGGAGACCAGGAAGGAACCAGAACCAGGCCTCTGTGGCTATATCTAGCAGAGTCCTGGTCCCCAATGGTGCTCAGTAAGCAGCTGTTGAATGAATGAAGAGGGTCTCAGAAGTGACTATTTCAGGAGTAAGTGACACTCTTAGCTCAACACAATGGGCTGGGCACACATTTACGTCCTCTGCTTCTAAGACGACAGCCAGGGAGAAACAACAAAACAACACTGCATTTATCACAGCAGAGTGGTACAGAGAGGTGCCACCAGCCAGTGAGAAATTTTGGATGGTTTCCACAAAATCTAGAGTAGGAGGCATCATGCTCACCCCTTTGTACGAGCAGAGAATGGGCAGAAGTCTCAGGTCTCAGCAAGACCTCCCAGCTCAGAAGCAGCTGCAGCTGGGGGTTGAACGGGGAACATGAGGAACAGAAGGATTGCCAGACTTCTTGGCGGTTCCTTACCCCTGAAAGGGTTGGCTGAGGGTTAATGCTCAGGAGAATGTTCCCTATAAAAAGCAGGGAACCGCCCCCAGCACTCTGTGAGAACCCAGAGAGAGAAGCAGGGTACTGCACACAGTACCCCAATGCGGGCACAGCCTTTCTTGTAGGGCAACCTTGGGGAAACAGACTAATGTGCTCTGCTGTTTGGTGACATACTGCAGAAGGAGGAGGTCCCCTGGAGCTTGTCTCCTTGCCCCTCTCTGTGCAGCCTAAAGAGAGTGTCTGTACACATCTCCCAACAATTCACATAAAAAGCCTCACCAATCCTTCCATTCAAGGCAAAAGCTTGCCAAGGAAACCTCCACGCTGCTGAGTAAATGCACATCGGTCACCTCTTCTGATCTAATGAAGTTTTTACTTTCCTATTCACAGAAAACAAAAAACAGCCCAGTCACTGGAGGAAAACCAGTAGCCTAAAAAGTAAGCATCAAGAACAGACTCAAAGACTGCTAAACAAATTTAATGTACATAGAAAACAATAGACTAAAAGATAAGCATAAAGATGAATAAGTTGGAGGCTATGAAGACAAATTTAATTAAAATATTGAAGAGAATATTTTTTAAAAATTCAAATTGGTGTCCCTAAAGCAATGTAAGAGTGAGTCTGGCTTCCATAAAATATAAAAAATTTGCTAGGAAAAAGGAAGAAGCACACAGATATTAAATATTTTGTTACTGACTTGTGAAAACAAAGCCCAAAACCCTCAAGATGAGGCTTGTAAATGAATGACATTTAAAAATTCAAATTGGTGTCCCTAAAGCAATGTAAGAGTGAGTCTGGCTTCCATAAAATATGAAAAATTTGCTAGGAAAAAGGAAGAAGCACACAGATATTAAATATTTTGTTACTGACTTGTGAAAACAAAGCCCAAAACCCTCAAGATAGGCTTGTAAATGAATGACACGGGTGGCAACACTGAGGAGATCTGTCAGTGCATGGAACAAAAACACAGAGAAACAGAAATGATGAAGGACAAGTCAAGGAACACAGACGACAGACCCAGGAGAGGCACTGGAGGTCTAACAGGATTTCCGGGCGGCAAGAACAAAAGGATGGAAGGACAGAAATAATCACAGAAATAACTGAAAACATCTCAGAGAATCTGCATCTTCATCAAAACAGGACACATACAACAACCAAGCAGGAATACTGAAAAAAGAACAAATAACCAGACACGGGTGAAATATCTGAACTCCAAGGATAAAGAAAAACAAAGGAATGAAAAATCAAACCTCCAGGCAACCTCTCCTCAGCCTCTCCTAAGGTTAGGAGATACCGGAGATTGTCTTTTCTCCTGGTACTCTGAGGGAAAAGGATTTTGAACCAGAAGGCTTTAATCGGTCAGCCATTCCTGGAGCACAGCAGAGCGAGGCATTTTCAGAGGTCCAGAGAGAGAAGGTGCACTGACCACAGTCATTCTGTAAAACAACCCAAAGGCCTCTAGCAAAACTCAGCAGAATCAGAGGAAGAAGAAAACATGACAGATGAAAATTACGGTCAGCAGACAGAAGAGACAAGTAAGAACTGTTATTTATAAGGGGTATGTAGGCAAAGTGTTTACATTTTACAATAAAGCTACATATGTGGGTACCAAGCCTGAGAATTCCTGAAACTTTGGAAGAGGAGCTGCTACCGTGATTGACGGCGAAGCTGAAGCAGGTCACACCAGATCACCAATAGGCTGTCTGGAATGAGGCAATAAAATGAGCCACTAAAGACAAAGAAGGGCTGGTTCTCTGGAGGAGCCGGGACTGCCAGCCCTGATAGTCACAGAGGGTACCTAAAATTCCCCTCCTACCTAAGTAGGGTTGCCAGATTTAGTAAATGAGAATATAGGGCACCCAGTTAAATTTGAACTTCAGATAAACAACAAATACGTTTTAGGATAAGCATGTCCCTTACAAGATAGGCTTTGTTTTATATGCCTTGTGTCCTTTTTGGGGGCAGCTGGCCAGTACAGGGATGGAACCCTGGACCTTAGTGTTAACAGCACCATGCTCTAACCAGCTGAGCTAACCCACCAGCCTCTGCCCTGTGTCTTATCTGACAACCCTGTACCTAAGAGATCTCCCATTCCAAGTTCTTGGGTAGGTTGAAACACAGGAAGATGATAACTTATTCCCAAAAGTGGGTGAGAAACTTGCAGTGGACTTGGACTCCAACTGGCCAAATATCTAATGATGTTTTAACTATTTAACTATTAACTATTTCAGCTACAAGCTCTTGAGAAGATAGTTAAATCTTTATAGCCCTCAGTGAAAAGGGTGTAATAAAAATACCTACCTCATAATACTGTCAGAATTATATGAACTAATCCAGTTAAGGAATTTAACAGTGACTGGAACATAATATGCAAACCTAAACTGTAGATAATATTATAGCTGACCAACTATTATAATTTTGTCACTCTGTCTTCAAACTTGGGACAGCAAAAGTAATCAGAAAACATATATTCGAATTTAAATTATTGTTGTTCGAGTAGCTAGATGGTGTGATGTAACTGTTAGCAAAGGATTAAAATATATATATTTATTATATAAACGGAAAAAAAAACAAAAAAGAAAAGTATTTAAATAATTTCCATAAAACCTGGGATGAAGGAGAAGTCTATCTTGTTTAGGTGATATTATAGATGGAAAAAATTCCTGATGTTGATAGAAAAATATGTTACACATGTGTGAAACATCAATAGCAATCAATAATAGAATAAAAATAAAATATAGACCTTCAAAACTACTGGAAGAAGAAAAAAAGAAAGTAAAATAATAATGAAAGAAAAAACTCAGGAAATGAAAAGCAATTGACAAACACGGTTACTAAAAATGCAAACTAACTCTTAAATTTCACTGAAAAATTTAGTAGTAAGTAAACGATTCACCTGAGATATGTTCATTTTCTTCTGCTCCTGGAAAAGTTCAGAGAACTGCAAAGGCAGAGCTGGAGGAGAGGGAAGGAGCAAAGAGATAATGAGAAATATGGTTTCCCTTTACGGTCCTCACAGAGCTTGCCCAGAAATCCACACATATCTGCTGCCAAAGGGCCACACGGCAGGAGAATGTCTCTTTGACCCCTCAGAAGGGGCAGCTAACGGAGCCAAGAGAAGCAGGCTTTTCATTGGGAAAAGTAAATATTTGTTTCTTACTGGTTTCTTCCAATTTATTACTTCCTCTGATTTAATAGCAGACAAATATAAATAATATAACATTCAACTAAGAAGGACCTGGTTAAACAAACCACATTACAATGAAGGATGAGATACCATGCCATCATGCCATTATTAAACATGTTTATAATTTTGTGATGTCTGAGATTTTTAAATTTTAATTAACTTTTTTTATTGTACATTAATTTTGTGATGTCTGAGATTTTTAAATTTTAATTAACTTTTTTTATTGTACATGTTTATGGGGTACAGTTAGGTGTTTTGATGCCTGCAAATATTGTATAATGATCTAATCAGAATAGTCAGCATATCTGTCTGAGATTTTTAAATTTTAATTAACTTTTTTTATTGTACATGTTTATGGGGTACAGTTAGTTGTTTTGATGCCTGCAAATATTGTATAATGATCTAATCAGAATAGTCAGCATATCTATCACCTAAACATTTACCATTTGTGGTTATAACATTCAAGATCCTCTTTCCTACCTATCTTGAAATGTACAATATTATTAGCTATTGTCACCCTAGAGCATCAGAACTTATTCTTCCTATCTAACTGTAATTTGTAACTTTGTACCAGTCTACTAACCTTTCCCTGGTCCCCCCGCCCTTCCCCCCACTTTCTCTGCCTCTCATAACCACTGTTCTACTCTCTATTTCCCTCTCTCTTTCTAATTTATTTTTCTTAATTGACCCATAATCCAGTAGAGGAAGGTAGGAAAGGGGAAAGTGTAGGTACATATGTATGTGTTATGCTGGGGGAGGTGTGTAGATGAAATAAAATTGTCTATATGTTGAAACTGTGACAAGCACATGGGAATCATTGTCTTTTCTTTACTTTTGTATGTTTTTAATATTTCAATAATAAAAGTATAAAAACTGATACAATAAAAACCTTACAGAGATCTCATTTAATTTTCTACTTATATTTTTACTTCTTGAGATTAAAAAATGAACAGAAACCTGTGACAACAGAGATAGATAGGCTTTAAGGGAGTCTTTTTTTTTTTTTTTTTTTAAAGGTTTGTTTTCCTCTGGTTTCAGCGTGTGCAAAGGCTTTTTAATTAAGAAACTAGTTTTGTCTTAACTGAGTCAAATGGCCTGAGAGTTAGGGGGCCTTGGAGCTCCTTTTGGCTTTGCCACTGATGATTAAGGCAAACCTAGATTATAATAATCTAGTTCTAATAATATTAAGATACTGACAATACTTGTATAGTGCTTACTGTGTAACAGGCATTGTTCTAAGTATTTACATGTATTACCTCATGCAATCCTTAAAATAACGCAAGATGTAGGTACTATTATGAGTCCCATTCTGTAAATAAGAAAATCAAGGGGAAGAAAGTTATAGTAACATGGTGGTGCTGGGCTTTGAACCCTGGCAGTCTTGCTGAAGAAACCATGCACTTAAGTGCTATCCTAATTACTCTCGCAGGCACAATATTTTTCTCTGTTAAATTGAGGCAGAATTACATAACCCCTGAAAACCCTTCCATACTCCTAAAGAGGCAGAAACGGGGAGTGGTAGCCTGTCCCTAAATTCCAGATGTGGGGGTGGGAATGGTTTGAGGACTCTGCAGCATCTGAGAAGAGGGACTGGAGAATTAAGGGGTGGGAGGAGTTTCTGGGAGAAGTGGAGATAATGCCTGCCTGGTCTTACTGCAGCCCATGTTCTCACCAACCCTCCATGGGAGTTCCTCTTCCCACGCAGCCTGCCTCTTGCTCACCGCCCTCAGCCCAGCTCACCTCTCTCCACTGACCTACAGTTCTTGGCAACCTCAAGGGGTGGGAGGAGTTTCTGGGAGAAGTGGAGATAATGCCTGCCTGGTCTTACTGCAGCCCATATTCTCACCAACCCTCCATGGGAGTTCCTCTTCCCACGCAGCCTGCCTCTTGCTCACCGCCCGCAACCCAGCTCACCTCTCTCCAGTGACCTACAGTTCTTGGCAACCTCAAGTGTGGTGATGTTATTCAGTGCAGAAGGATCGGGAACCGCTTCAGAGCAAGCACATACAGCATGTATCTGTTTCTTAGACCTCTGCCCTGCAGCTGTGGTGTGCTGTATCTGGGTAGACTGGGGTTCTCCCAGGTGGGATTCCTGCTCCTGGCATCCTCCCCTTTCCTCACAAGAATGTGATCTGCAGAAATCTGGCCCCTGCTGGAGGGGATAAGTTCAAATAACTGGAACCTTCAGCTGGGTCCCAACTCCCTCTTGAAATTCACCATCCCCTGCAATGGTGGTTCTCACAGTGTGGTCCCCAGACCAGCAGCATCAGCATCACCTGGGAACTAGATAGAAAGGCAAATTCCTGGTCCCCACCCTTGACCTACTGAATCAGAAATCTTGAGGAAGGACCCAGCACCTGTTGGGTTTTAACAAGCCCTCAGGTGACTGTGATGGATGCTAGCTTGAGAACAACTGCCAGAAAATCTAGCTTGGGAGTCTGTAAACTGAGGGCACAGGCAGAGGGACCCTGGAAGAGGGGCCTAGAGGCGTCAGTCATACAGTAACCCAAGGGTTATGAACAGGAAAGACAAATCCCCAAGAGCTTCAAGGGAAGACTTTGTCCTCACACACTCCAGGTACTTCTCTGTGGCCTTACGGATGTGCCATGCTGCTCACTGCTGTGAAGAATGAGCTGCTGGATCAAAACCAAAGCGTGAGATTTGGAAATAAAACTGTTTGGGGTTTGCCTCCCAGTTCTTTCACTCGCTAGCCATGCGACTTCACTTCCAGACTCTTGGTTTTCTTCTCTGTTACAATGGGATTGCTAACAGCGACCTTACAGGAAGGAGGTCTTTGAGAATCAAATGATAAACCTAAAGAAAAGACAGGTGAGAAATACAGGTAACATTTCCAGCGTGCTTAGTAAACGAGAGCTTTATAGATGCTCTCTTATTCAATGCTCAGAACAACCCTGAGGCAGGTTTTAGGAATAACCTCATTTTACAGCTGGGGAAATTGAGTCTTAGAGATTCATTATTGTGCTCATGGGGACTCAGGGTCAGAGCTGGAATTTGAACTCGTCTCACTTTCAAACTCAGGCTCTGAAATCAGCCTGCTATACACAGAACCACCACCCGCCCTTAGCCTGAAGGCATATAATAAATGTCATAAGAATTCATTCTCATTGCCTCTGATGTCGTGGATTTGACTCGCAAATGAATGGCTGGCCAGGGCACACGCCAATTCGAGGGGCTTCTGGAAACAGCTCTTTAACGTTTGAATGTCTTTTCCCAGCGCACTTTGTTATGACCGAGAAACCCGTGCCCCCCTCCCTTCTCCTCAGCGAACCTCCTCTGTCACTTGCATTTCTAGACGGGCAAATGCGGAGCACACTCGCGAACAAGTGCTATAGGATCTGAGCCCGCGAGGGATTCGCGCAAGTTTTTGCTCCCACCAGTGTGGACACAAACCAACCCCAATCTTGGCAGCGCAACCCTGCAAATTAGCTTCGTACCCGTAGAGCAGGACCCGCTCACCGAGCTGCGAGTAGACCCCAGGCGCGGCGATGATCTGCAGCGCGAAGCTGGAGACAAGAGAAGCGGACTAACAACGAGGCAGAACCGCACATGCGCAGAAGGAGCTGCGAAGGGCCAGTTCCCAGGCCCCTCTGGGGTAATCCGTCAAATTCCAGAGTCTTTCCCGCAAGTCCCCGCGCCCCTTACTTAGCGAATGTCTGAGGAGTTCCTGCTTTATCTGGCGAGTTGGGTGATTTGTGGTCCAAAATTATCTCTACTTTTGTTTGGAGCCCTGGTTCCATATAACCTCCTAGTTTAGGGATTTGAACTCAACTCCACCTACAATCAGTGTCCCTTTCCATGCAAAGCTACCTTGAAAGATGTATGTCCAACTGCACGTATGAAAACAAGTAAAAATTTAACTAAAGCCAAGCAATGTAGTAAAAGATTAATACCCAGAACCAGCAAGTTTTCTCCCCGGAGTGCAAATACAACTTGCCTCAAAACTGGATCTCAAAAATAATACGCTAAAACCACGGATAAAAGAGCAAATACACATAAATCAAAGGAAAATTTGATTAAATGAGTGCACTCATAATCTTCCCTTCCAGAGATGACCACGGTCAATGTTAGGTCATACTTTTACTGAAATAGGACCCCACAAGCTCAATGTGTTATTTTGGTCTTTTCGTTAAGCATGTTAATAATTTTCTTACCCTTTTTACCTCTATATTTTGAAAATTTCAAACTTACAGAAAAGTTGCAGAAGTGAATCATTCTGAATGAACATCTGTAAACCGTCCGCTTAGGTTCACCAATTGTGAATATTTTGCTACATTTGTGCTCCCTGTCTCTGTTTGCTCATCTTCTTCACCCTTTGAGAGTAAGCTGCAAACATGAACTGTTACCTCTAAAAGGTCAGCATATATTTCCTAAAAACGAGGCTTTTCTTTTCTTTTTTTACATAACCACCACGCAATAATCAAATCCAAGAAATTGAATACTGATACAATATTATTATCTAATATCTAGACCATATTCAAATTTCACCCATTGTCCCAATAATATCCTTTATCACATTTTTTCCCCTGACCTAGGGCCCAATTTAGGATCATTTATTACATCCAGCTGTCGTGTAATTTAAACTCCTTCAATCTTGTTCCCCAAACATTCTCTTTCATGACATTGGTAATTTTGAAGAGGACATGCCAGTTGTTTTGAAGAATGTTCTTTTATTTGAGTTTGTCTCATTGTTTCTTCATCCCCCCCCCTTTTTGTTTAGTTCATTCCATTTTTGGTAATATGAACCTGGCTAAGATGAGGTGCAGGTCAATATACCTTGATATCAATTATTTCTCTTCTGCCATTCACTGATAAGAAGATAATAATATCTTATAAACAATAAGTTCCATTCATAGTAGCATTCAGTATCTAGGACCAAGTTAACAAGAATTGGACACAACTTACACAAAAGAAATGATTACACTCTACTGTGCGACATTAAAGATGTAAATCGAGACAGGTACTGCTTTCTTAGATAGGAAGACTCAATATTCTTTTACAGAATTCCAATCAAAATCTCAATAAGTCGAGTGATGTGAGTTTTTTCCTTGATTTTTTAAAAAAATTTATTTTACTTATCAGAATACATTTAAATTTCATCCGGAAGAACAAAAAACCTTAGGAGAGCAGCCAAGACTTTTTATTTACAGAATTCCAATCAAAATCTCAATAAGTCGAGTGATGTGAGTTTTTTCCTTGATTTTTAAAAAAAATTTATTTTACTTATCAGAATACATTTAAATTTCATCCGGAAGAACAAAAAACCTTAGGAGAGCAGCCAAGACTTTTTTAATTGAAAAATCAGAGTATTTCCTATTAGATATGAATATGTTTAATATTAATGCAATGTTCAAAAGGTTGCCACTGCTCCTTAGAAGAATGGGTACAAACCCAAGAGTTCATAAGAATTTAGAATATGATAAAGGTGGAATTTCTAAGCAGGGGACTGGGTAGTCAAAAATTCATGTTAGGAAATAAATAAATAAAATAAAATAAAACAAAATAATTTAAAGCGTGTACCAGCCCCCACCCCAAAAATTAAAAAATTAAAACAAACAAACAAACAAATAAATAAATAAATAAAAGTAAAATAAATTATGTTAGGAAATTAGAGGTGATGGTAAGGGGAGAGGAAGATTATATCTCTTGTACATACATGCTACAATACATAAATTTCATATAGACTCTTGATTTAACATTTTAACAATAAATTATCAGGTATCCAGAGAAAATATAAAAGAATTTTTAAGTTTAATATCTGGGTAAAGATGGCAGGCCATCAAAGGCAGCAGCCACAAAAGAAATGACTGCCAAATTTTACTCTAGAAAAATTTAAAACCTTAGTTTCAGAAAAAAATCAAGTAGAAACACACTTGGAAAATATATTTGTTAAGTGTATGAAGGAAACGCTTTATTGACTTTATTTAATTATCTCTTACACATTTATAAGAAGATCACACTACCATAAAAATGATCTATGGATATGAAGGGCAAGTAATAAAAAAGAAAATGCAAATGAGGAATAAATATGTGAGAACAGTCCATAAACTACAAATAAAAAATGCAAATGTTTAAATACATGTTTTGGCATTTACAGTTGGCAGAGATTATAAAGAATAATGATATCCAGGGTGGGCATAAGTTGGGGGAAATGTTCATTCTCATAAATTTCTTTCTGCAATATAATTTATAAAACAATTTGGACGTCACTTTATACCAAGATTTAAAAGGAGCATACACTTTAATGTAGCAATTCTATTTCTAGGAATATGATTTAAGGAAATAATTGTCCAAAGTTACATTATAGGTATATTTCTCATGGTTTATGTTAACATTTACATTGCAAAAAATCTAAATTAAAAAAAGATAAAATAACTCGTAGAAATCTATAAGATGGGATATTAGGTAACCATTAAAAATTATAATGCAGGAACATACTCATTGACATGGTGGAGTTTACAAAATATCTTTAAATAAAATACACTTTACACAAGAATATAAGGCATTGATCTATTTTTGTAAAAGTCATACATATCTCCTAAGGGTTTAAAAACAAATGTAAATACCAAATATAGGAACAAAAACGAACCAAAAAATATTAAAATTTGCTTCACTCTTACGTACAACAATAGAGCACACTATTCCAGGATTTCATTTATAAAGGCCTGGAAAAATTCAAAACCTGCATCATTCAGTCCTATTATCCCCACAGGAATAGACATAGAATAGGAAGAATGCATTCTCGGAGAGCATAAATTTACATCCATTGTAGAATCTATCTACTCTGCTTTTTAAATTTTCTCAGCGTTAGCTCTGATGTCATATTGAGTGTTCTCCACTAAATTAACTACACAATACATTATGGTGTTTAAGTGTCTTTGTAGTATATTACAAGCTCTAATTTTCATTTCAAAGTAATCAGTTTTTATAAATTTTCTAAGTCCTCCAAAAGCACTATGATTTGATAAATATTTGGATGAGACTGGTGTAGTAATTAAAAGATTTTAAATTTTAATAAAAGTGAATGTTAAAATAACTGTCCAACTTACAAAATAATTTAAAATATTCTAAAACATTAATAA